CCCGCCCCCACCCCTCCGGCTTTGGCTCCTGCAGCAGCTGTTCTGGGATTAGAGGCCAGAGGCGGAGCCAAGTCAATGCCGGCGAGGGTGAAGATAGCCCAGTAGGCTACCATGCTGCCAGCTTGTTAGCGAAGCCTGCCGCTGCTCCTCCTTGCCCCCTCCCTCCCTCCCTCCGCCCTCCCTCCTCCTCAGGCTCCACCACGCGGGAATGCCAAGGGCGAGGGAGACGAGGGAAAAATGATGCCAAAAAATTTATACCGGGGTACAAGACGACTCCCCACTTTTGAGATGATTTTCCTGGCTTAGAAAGTCGTCTTGTACCCCAGAATATACAGTACTTTACAGATTTACTGCACATCAGATAGAGGATTAGAATATAAATCCAAAGTACAGTTGATGGAAATAACAAGACATCGATTTCAGCAGGTTATTTCTTACCATCTTTGATATTAAGAATCTGAGTATAGAAGTACTAGTAAGGGTGGAAGGATAAATTGGAGCTACAGAAAAGTTATTCTATTTCTGTTTTGCTCAAGCTTTGGCATGACTCAATGAAAGCATGACATTATGTACATTATGTAGCTGATGAAAGATATATTGTTTAAGAGTAGAATCTTAACAGTACATTGATTGTATCTTTCTCATTTAGATCCATGGAAAGGATTCACTTGAAAAGTTCAACCAGAAGTTCAACAACTTTCACCTTACAAGTTCACTTTCTTGATACACTATATTATCAAAATCATGTTGATACACTGTAGTTTCCACTCTGAAAATGCTATGAATAGGCATTTCCCAATGAATTGAATAAACAAATTAACAAGGCAATCTACTACAAGACAGATCAAAACCAGAAAATAAGACATATTGCTGCTGGGTTTAGCTAACTCTTGTGCTTTTTTTTTCTTATCCACCTTAGGCTTCCCTAATTCTTTTTCTTTTTCTCTGATTTTGGTAAGCATCTCTAATTGCATATTGTTTTTTTTCTTTTGCACTAAATAGCATGTTGTTGAATTAGTAAACTCTTAACACTGTTTTTCCTGCATCCCACATTATCTTTTCAGCTATGTCCTCTTTGTGATTCTCTTTAATTTTGTATTCGTAATCTTTTCCTTAATCTGTTTGTCTTTTAGTATATAAAAGGAAGTCTCCAAGGCTTCCTTTTCCAAAACCGCCCTTTTAACTGTAACAGTATCAGATTGTGGTCTGCAAACTCTGGGTAGGTATTCCACCTTCTCTGTTTTTATTACCAACTCCTTAGTTGCAAAGATATAATCTATTCTGGACGACGATCCATATCTATGGGAGAATATGAGTAATCCCTTCCACCTAGCTTTTGTATCCTCCATAGGTCATATAATTCCCAATGTTTTAAATCTCCTAGTAGTGTGCTCGGAAGTCACCTTTCCTTGGTGACCTTTTTTCTTTTGGAATTTCTATCTTTGTATCCATTACCCTATTAAAGTTCCCTAACCTCCCCTTCTTCTGCTAGGATATTGGATATTATTCCCCACATCATGATACTATTTGCTATATACACATAGAAAATTAAACAGTCTCAGAACCCAGCTCTTTTTCTTTAACGGTTGTTAAGACCAGTGGTTCTCAACCTGTGGGTCCCCAGGTTCTTTTAGCCTACAACTCCCAGAAATCCCAGCCAGTTTACCAGCTGATAGGATTTCTGGAAGTTGAAGGCCCAAACATCTGGGGACCAATAGGTTGAGAACCACTGGTCAAGATCCATATAGAAATCTAACCGACAGCCCCACAATCTTAAACAACCTGCAACAGATCATACAACGTTATAGAAACTAAGGATAAAACCCTGCTACAAGCTGATATCACAACTCAATAACTACCCTGGCAGCACCATTAGGGGCGCCAATAAAGTCACTAAGAATATCGGACTGGTGCATCTTCCAATGTGATACATGCCATTGTTTGACAGTAATACCCATCTGCACTCTACACTGGACAAACCCCCTCCAAGAAGACAAATAGACACAAATTTGACATCATGGTTGATCTATAAGTATCTGCCCTAAACAAAAGAAATCAAAGCAAGATTGAAAATAAATAGGCAGAATTGGAATATATTGGCAGAGATTTTAACAAAGACAATGTTTTATAGATAACAATAGATCTTGAAAACTACCTAGAAGTGTCATTTGTACTTCAGTGGTCAGACTGTGTAAAACATTTTGCTTCATATCTTCACCACTGCTATCACTGCCTTATTTGCTTGTTACCATGCAGATTGAGGCAAAGCCATCTCATTCTCCCTAAACAGCTTAGTAAAAAATAATGCTCCCAGATAAAAAATATTTTCACAGAAAAAGAATACACATTACTACATCCTAGACACACCCCAATCCCTAGAATTTTTTCTGCAGTAAAGGACAAAAAAGAAAAGCCATGCAAACTAACAAATGTTATTTCTCCTTCAGAAATCAACATGGAAAACATACAGAAATTCTAGCAGCTAGGCAGTACCTGTCAATTCAGTCATATCTATACTGCAATTGGTTACACTTTGAAGGCTACTTCTCTGAACTGCAAAGATATCTGTTGGACAGTTTCCCAGAAACATGAGTATTGGGAATACATCCCAGATACAGAAATAGGTATTGTCATAAGCTGTGTTCTAATTCATATATATTAGTTAAGATTAGTCATATCCCAAGTAAACAAAGCACAGCTGGAGTTTACGCCCAGACAGCTGTATATTGCAGTATTATAATACAATTAAGGAGGTTTAAAAACCATCTTTAACATTCTGAGTTTTTAACAATTACACTCCTTAATTAGTTGCCTTTAAGGCATGCACTAAATATATCAATTACATTTAGCATGCAAAATGGCTCACCAGTTTTCAAGATAAGTTGTTGTACTTTCTCTCTTTGGAGAGATTGTACTTCACATGTTGCTAGTTTTATGAGATTCCAGTTGATTACGTCATTATATTGTCTCTACTTTTAGACAATATAAGCTACCATATATTTGTACAGGAGTGTAGAGGTAGATATAAATAAGCACAATTACTGTAGGTTGTAAAAGCGGAGATGGATTTTATCTATTTATTTATTTACAGTATTTATATTTATTTATTTATTTATTTATTTATTTATTTATTTATTTACTGCACTTGTAGACCGCCGTTCTCAGCCCTAGGGCGACTCACGGCGGTGTACAACATATAAAACAATTTACAATAAAGGCAATATCACAAACAACAATAACAACATCACTATCAATAATACAATTACACTAAATCCTTCGCGACGTCTCATCATAGAATCACAATCCAATCTCGTTATCCATATTCCGTTCCAATCATCATTGCCAAATTGTTGTAGCACTTAGTCAAACGCCTTCTCAAACAACCACGTCTTTAGTCTCTTGCGGAATGTTAAAAGGGAGGGCGCCTGTCTGATGTCTACAGGGAGGGTGTTCCACAGCCGGGGGGCCACCACCGAGAAGGCCCTATCCCTCGTCCCCGCCAGGCGTGCCTGTGAGGCAGGCGGGATCGAGAGAAGGGCCTCCCCAGACGATCTCAAAGTCCTCGTGGGCTCGTAGGCCGAGATGCGGTCAGACAGGTATTTTGGGCCGGAACCGTTTAGGGCTTTGTAGGCCAGCACCAGCACCTTGAATTGGGCCCGGTAGCAGATCGGTAGCCAGTGGAGCTGGAACAACAAGGGCGTTGTGTGCTCCCTGCGTCCCGCTCCTGTTAGTAACATGGCTGCCGCGCGCTGGACTAGCTGGAGCTTCCGGGCCGTCTTCAAGGGCAGCCCCACGTAGAGAGCGTTGCAGTAGTCAAGGCGGGATGTGACCAGAGCGTGTACTACCGTGGCCAAGTCAGACTTCCCGAGGTACGGGCGCAGCTGGCGCACGAGCCTGAGCTGTGCAAATGCTCCCCTGGTCACCGCTGAAACCTGGGGATCCAGGCTCAACGATGAATCCAGGATCACACCCAAGCTGCGAACCTGCGCCTTCAAGGGGAGTGCGACCCCATCCAGCACAGGCTGTAACCCTATACCCTGTTCGGCCTTGCGACTGACCAGGAGTACCTCTGTCTTGTCTGGATATCCCACCCTTCTCACCCTGAAGGGAACTCTGAGCAGCTTACAGAACACACATACAGCAAATATTCAATGCCAATTATACAATTAACTAGGACAGACAACACAAACAGAGATAAAGGCAGTTTTTCCCATCTTATTTCTGACATCTTGGAGGCTGTGCTCGACTTTGGCCATAGGGCATGCTGACACTCTATCTTCCATGCCGAGGAGCTTTCCTCCTATCGATGTCCTTAAGGGCGCCTTTATTACCTCTCTGTTAAAAGTGGTACATATCTGTCTGCTAAGTGGGCAGGTAAATTTGGACTAATTGCAGGTGCTCATCCCTGACCCGGGCTTGAACTGCCAATCTTTCGATTGACAGGATTTTTCTGCAGTACAGAGGTTTAGCCTGCTGTGCTATGTTTGTCAGGTTGATCAAACCTCATTAATTACAGATAACTTAGCTTAAAAAATCTGAAAATACAATACATATATATTGTACAGTCTAAAAACAATACTAGCAACAACCTATTTCATAAAATGAACTAGTGAGTCCAACCGCCTGCTCAATGCCATATCTCCAGCTTAAACATCCCAGTAACTAACCTTACGCTCCTTTCTGAAGAGGAGGAGATCTCACCATCTTTCTAGACAAGAAGTTCCATTGCCAAACTCTTACCATCATTCTAAAGATTCAATCAAATTCTACTTTTGTGTAACTGCAAAACCATCAAATCCAGTCCTATCCTGCAGAGTAAAAAGAAGAAGCCTGCTTCATCCTTTCTGTGGCAGCCCTTGACATATCTTTTGTAATGTTGTGCACATTTCAATGGATCAGCTGCACTGAACTTGCAAACACAAAGTCAGTATTCTCACTACAAATATCTCAAAGCAGAAGTAAACTTTTTAGCTGAAATAGATTGAAAGATCAAAACATACCTTGAGGCCCCGAAAGCTTCCCGGGCTCGTAGGAGAGGAGCTAGAAGATTTTGTTGATTTAGGAGTTGAAATCTGGCTGCTCGTATTTCCATTGACTAGTGGGAATAACCAAGGGCAAAGAAAAAAAATGAACCTGTTATTAAAATGGTTGTAAATGTGAAATTCCTGTTAATATTTAATGCATTCCTTGCACTGAAAGTCCCATATACCCATGGCCAATATAAATGCTATGTATACAACATATATTCTGCAATACACAATAATAGACTAGGAATCAGAGTTGCTAATGGATCCACTGCCTTTTTTTCTAGAGAGGGCATAAAAAGATGCATAACTGGTAGGCAAAGAAGACCTGCCTTCTCATGTGTTAAATCAAAACATGTCCAGAAACAGCAATAGAAGGGTCCCTCTTCCCTTAAATCCATGGTACTTTTTGGTTTTTAACAGTGATTCTATGTATGTAAAAGCTCAGAAGACGATAACCTCACACCAAAGTGCTGTAACAATAAACAAAGCTGCACTTTAATGAATGCTTCTTTTTGCACAACTTTTAAAAGCATAACCTCTTTTCAGAATTAGGACTGTCAGATGTATGCTACAATGGTTGCTTTGGCCTCACTACTCCTTCTTTCAATTTCTTTCTGTCAATGCTTTTTAGATAACAGTTCACTGCCTGCAGCCAAGGAATGTTGATGAACATGCCAAGTTATCACATCAGGTCAGCCAGCATGTGTCTGAGAAATCATTATGGACAGAAAATTTACTCCGTGCCAAGGAAGGAGATGCTAACTGCTGACTAATAAGAACCTCTGAATATTTTCCATGTATAAACAAAAGCAACCCAGCCTAGTTTATGTCATGGTGAGCAACTTTCTCCCCTTTTGAGGACTTCTATTGGGGTCATCACCTTCTTTAGTGGTAATCAGCCAAGGCTGAAGCTAATGCATTACAACTAAAGCCAGAAGAAGAATAGTCTATTCCCCTTCTTATTCTTTTCTATTATATATCCCCTTTCCCTTCCCTTCCTTATCAGCTTACTAGGAAAAGGGACAAATCAGAGATTTTGAAACGGGGGATGTAGGTTCATTTATGCAATTGTGACTCTGAAAGAAAATCAAATGCCTGAAAATGCTGAGCTTAAGGCTTTGGCCAGAACCAGCTTGTCAGTACCCTAGTTTCACACTTGAATTTTGATGGGTGATTACATGTGTGAAAATATGTCATTTGTAAAGCAAAAAAGAAACCTCCTGTTCTTTTCAAAGTCTGAGTCCCCTTCTATACTGCGATATAAAATCCAGATTATCTGATCTGAATTGGATTGTATGGCAGTGTGGACTCATATAATCCAGTTCAAAATGTGGATAATCTGCTTTGATAATCTGGCAGTGTAGAAGGGGTTTGAACTGCCCTTTTCCCACTCCATTAAAATACTACAGAAATGGCCTCTTTAATAAGTATCAACTCCTATTTATTGGCCAGATTCTCTCATGGGCATATTGCCATGTTTCCATCAATATGATTCTATAGTCTTGGGTTTGTCCTTTGTAGAAGTAGTAGTAGTAGTAGTAGTAGCAGTAGAAGAAGAAAATAAAGGAATTATTCCATAGATCAAGATTATTTTCAATACAGTTAAGCCATTTTCCTTTAAGAAAAAAAAACGAGTCAGCCAGCTAGATATCTGGTTTCCCTGGAAACACTAGTTACCTACACTTGTTCAGCTGTGCAGAATATCTACAATATAATTGGTGACGGGACACTTATTTAAGAAGCACTGTGTATACTGTGTACACTGTGTGAAGGCCTGCAGTGATGAACATGTCTAGTGTTTCAAAATAGTTTCCTCTTCAAAATGAATAAATAGGCTCCATAATCTGGTCTGTGTTAGAATCTTTGCTTGTAATTTTAGATTATGATCCTTGTGCTAGAGAAAGAATGGATGAATGTTTTACTGGGAAGGAAGGGTAAGACTGTATATGAATATCTTTAACCCTAAGGATGGGAGGTCCTTTGGGCTGGGGGTGACAAGGGGGAAATAGTGTAATGGGGAATCATTATCATAACTGTATGGCCGTGTTCCAGAAGCATTCTCTCTTGACATTTCACCTGCATCTATGGCAGGCATCCTCAGAAATTGTGAGGTCAGGAGAGAATGCTTCTAGAACATGGCCATATAGCCCGAAAAACACACAGCAACCCAGTAATTCCAGCCATGAAAGCCTTTGACAACACAATTATTATCGACACTGTTCTGAAGTATACATATTATACATATACATTTTTTTTGTCGTGTCAGGAGCGACTTGAGAAACTGCAAGTCACTTCTGGTGTGAGAGAATTGGCCATCTGCAAGGACGTTGCCCAGGGGACGCCCGGATTTTTTTTGATGTTTTTACCATCCTTGTGGGAGGCTTCTCTCATGTCCCCGCATGAGGAGCTGGAGCTGACAGAGGGAGCTCATCCAGGCTCTCCCTGGATTCGAACCTGCAACCTGTTGGTCTTCAGTCCTGCCGGTACAGGGGTTTCACCCACTGCATCACTAGGGGCTCCATATGTATACATAAAACATAGAATCATAGAATCTAAGAGTTGGAAGAGACCTCATGGGCTATCCAGTCCAACCCCCTGCCAAGAAGCAAGAATATTGCATTCAAATCACCCCTGACAGATGGCCATCCAGCCTCTGTTTAAAAGCTTCCAAAGAAGGAGCCTCCACCACACTCCGGGGCAGAGAGTTCCACTGCTGAACAGCTCTCACAGTCAGGAAGTTCTTCCTCATGTTCAGATGGAAGAACTTCCTGACTGTGAGAGCCGTTCAGCAGTGGGGTTGTGTAGATTTTGGGAGGGGGGAGCAAGAAGAAGCAACCATACTAATGATTTGTTTTTGATCTTAAGAATGTAATTTCCGCAATATGATTGTTAAAAAAAATCAGTTTTAAACAAAATAAATTAATGAACTTTTAATTCTTTACCATTTAAGAACCAAATTACTCAAATGACCATAGAAGCTAACATCTTTTCCTCAATCATTTAATTCTAAGATGGCAGACTGAATATTTATTTAGAACAGGAAAACTAACTTCTGTTTTTTCCATTCTTAGACCCATGTTTATAAGTTTGAAAAACAAACAAAAAGATTTTTATAATTAGCAGCCTTCTAATTTGATTTGACCTTCATATCTCCTTGCCTACTCTTTATCCGTCTTCTGTATATTTATGGTCCTCAAGGGTTTCCACTCTTGAGCCAGCTTAACTTGTGGCATGTGTCTGCACCAAGGAAAAGCCTGAAGTCTTAAGCAACACAGTCAAAACTCAATACCCCTCCAAAGCAGAGCAGCCAAGGAAATAGTAGATAAGAACATCTTCTTCTCTTGGAGCTACCAAGAGCTGGGAGAAGTTGATGCCTTCTCAATGTCTTACTATGCCTGGATTGGTGACATCCAATTGATCATATCTTATTCATGGGCATTTGAGATAAGAATTGATCTAATTGATCTAATGACCACACAAAGCAAAGCATCTCTAGATCTCAGTAAGACTAGACTTCCCAAGAAGCTCCTGGTAGCTGTGCTCAAGGTAAAATAAATAATGTCCCATCACAATACACATCCTGTCTCCCAGCAGAGCAAAAGTAAGCAAAAGACATTTATGCACAAGAAAGTACACAATAGTGAAATTTGCATGATGCATTCCCTTCCTTGTTCTATTTTTCAGCAAGTTCCTTACCCATTTTTTTTAAAAAAGCTCAATTCAACTGTAGCAATTGTACCAATCAACAGCCAATATACAATCTTCCTAGCCTCATGAATGCAAGCTATGCAAGCACAAAATAGGCACATAAAACTATGTTTTTTTCTTAATTTATGACAAGGACTACAGGTTATAAGGAGCTATGATAGCCATGGAAGAGGGGACCCCCCTTCTATATCCCATATCAGTAGAAAATGCAGCCTGTACTAATCGCTTAGAAATTTGATAACATTTTACAAACTAGGAATATTTGTAGGCTTACTTGCATGGCTAACTTATTCTGTAAAAAAAACCAAAGGAACTTATTTTTGGTCATATTCATCTAGTACAGAAGGAGAAATATTTGCAATGTTCTTATGATATCATTAGACTTGAATATTCTTACTACAGCTGAATAATCAACTGTTGTATATATTGGTGTTTCTAAGTCCTTATTAACTGCAACCTTTAGTAAATAAATATATGTAGCAATTTAAATTTGCTCCATTTCATCACTGAGCTATACTTAGTTCCAACTTATTGTTCAGGTAATATTGGTTATTGTACAGTATTATAAGCTATTGCTCCTATGCTTGTTGTTTGCTAGTCAAATTGTATATTCTAGTAAGCCTACTTCTATTGTACGTAAAATCTTAACACCCATTAAACTGTGATACAACCATTTCAGTTAGGACAAACTTGTCATGTCTTAAACTTGCAAATCATAAAACAATACAGTGCACAGATAGCGAGAAGGGATAAAATAAAAATGTAGGCAACAACAAGGTGGTACAAAGCCATAATAGCAATGGCTCACCTGGGGATTTTGCTGAAGAGTAAGCACTGGAGTAGTGACCACTCCTCTTTACTGTATTCATTCAATTGACACAAAAGAAAAAGACAGAAGAGAGATTATTCAAAGGTGTGAAAGAAAGATAAAGGTTTTGTTTTTGTTGTTTTTTTAAAAAAGGAAAGGCAGAGAGCATGTTTTCCAGCAAGATTTGTAATTTACTAGTAAAGTTTGTAATAGTTCTTCACAGTCCTCTTTAAAACAAATTAAAAACTACTATAAATGCTAATTATATTATATGGAAAATATATAACTGTAAGAAAGGTAAAGATACTATGTTGGAGATGTAATATAAGCAAAAAGGGGGTTGGTGCTTCTTTTAGTTTCATGACTAAGTCAGCACAGGTTTTTAGGCTTGATATTTTTAGTTGGATGTCCCCTTGACTTATCCACATAGCATATCAAAATCCATAATTTTGGATGTCAGGTGTTTTTTTTACTTTTTGCCCCTGCTGGAAATGTTGTATGAAGGGAATACAAATATTTTTAAATAATAAGAAGGGACTTTTTAATTATGGCCCTTTGAAATTTCTTCTCTAGGGAAGAATATCTGTCATTGACTTAATTATCTTTCCAGTGTTAGGTGAAGCCTTTTTCAAAAAAAAGTTGCCCAAGCTTTTAAACAAACTATTACTTTAAATTTACTGGTTTTAGTTTTGTTTGTTTTTTGTCTTTTTGTATTTTATAATTCCTTACTGATATGGTGCTTTTATTGCATTTTTTTATTTTTCTTTGATTAGGAGCTTTTCTGGGAACTGTTTGGGACTGAAGAATGGAGTAGATATTTCATAAGCAACAATTTATCAGGACATTGCCCATTTAAAACATATATACCTGAAGCAGGAGACTTGCTTCGACGTGAAGGTCCAGGACTTTTTGATCCAGAAAATCTTGGCATTCCAGGTGGACGGGAATAAGATGATTTCATAACACGACATTCTGTAAAGAACAGATGGATAACAGAAGAAATATCTGAGCTTCCAGTGACTTCCAAATAAAGTGACCTATTATATTTTCCCCATCAAAACGATGCCATTTTCTAAACAGATTTGTTCAAATGAATAAACAGATGTTCATCAATTCCCATTCTCTGTGGAGGAGACCAATTTCCCCTAAAATTGCGTTAAAACTAGTCTTAATTCATTTCACTGTGAAAATTAAAAGTGAATAAAATACTAATGGTTTTTTGTCTTATCTCTGTTTACAAAGTAGAATAATATTTAAGGTGTAGCATTCAGGAGGTTCCCATAAGTCGACAAGCTATTTGAAGGCAGAGACTGAAAAAAATGCTGCCATTTTGCAGGTTTCCCTGAGAAAGCTCCCTGAGAAAACCTGGCCATTGTGATTGCATCTCCTGTGGACACAATGGGATGTCCATGTAATCAGCAAGGAGGCGATCACTCTATCTGGTTTAAGCAGCCAATACAGAGGAGGCTCTCATTTTCTAAGTAGATATTACTTAGGAAGAGTTACTGGTTCATTATTTAAACTGTTATGTTTATTCATATCATGATCTGATCACCATACTCAATATATCTCATATGCATGGGGGTATTGGGTAACGATACAAAAGGTTTGCTAGGGTAGACCCTCTTTCACTCAGACTCAGCCCCCCCCCCCCCCCCGAATCAAAATCCTGGCTACGGGCCTGGCACCAGCAAAATGTGAGGACGTAGTTGTGACATCCTGGAAGCTAGGTAGGACCTGTTAAGACCTCCAAAAAGTTTTTTCCTTAAATGTTAACTATTCTAATATTTAGGGATATAAGGTGGTTGAAGATTAGGAATTAAAACATGTAGAATAGACAAGCATGTAGGGAGAGGGTTAGACATGGGGGAACAATTTTAGAAACATCATTTGAACCAGAGTGGTACTTATGCTGAAGGTCTAAAAAGGAAGGAAGAGCCATGCATGTTTGAAATTGGTAATAGAACAGAGAAGATAATCGAGGTAACATAATAAACCTTGTACTCTCTATAACCTCAATCTTTGAAGAAATTTAAATTTAAACAGAAACTACCTTAAAAGGATTTTCTACAAAAAGAAATGTGACACAGTACACCAGCCTTGAAAAGGCACTGTATCCACATGTTCATGCCGTTTCAAAGTATCAGTTAGCAGTTCCTCATTCCATCAATGTAGAGCAAATTTTGAGGTACAGATTTAAGGCCCATCTTCTTATGTTTATCACTCAATCTTCTATTTATCTTTTCAGACATAAACCATACTAAATCCAGATTCCGTAGCCTCCAACTAATTGCTGTTTTGCTGTTGTCATATTATTCAAAAACTGATCTAAAATTTTCCAGATCAACAACAATAAAAAATAGGATATATAGGCCTACCAGTATGGTCCAGTACAAAATCATCTTGAGCATAACGGTATTTATCAGGTCCACAGGCAATGAAAACATCATCATCACCAAAAAAGTCTTGCAAGCAGGTAACCTAAGAATGAAAGAAAGAAAATCTCAGTATTACATAGACTAAGGAAAAAGGGTTTATATTCTGTGTCAAATTTCTTTCTGATTCCTGCATTACATTATGTTTTATACCTACTGTTATGTTCTTGTGCACATAAAAAGTTAAGTACAAACAGATGGCCAACAGCACAGATATGTTTAAAAGTATAGGTTTTGAATTATAATTAGCAAAGCTAATTATATGGCTAACCTCAAGGAAGATAACAAGGATAACATAGTTTTTAGAAACTAAATGAATATTTTACATATTATTGTTATTGTTTTTATTGTTATTTCTATTCAGTCTTTTTCCAGTTCAGGACTCAAAGCAGCTTCCAACAAATTCTAAAAATAAGTCAAAACCCACAAATTACAAAAGTTTAAATGAGAATGAACAGTAAAAATAAATAAAGCCAGATCAAAACATGTACTGTAAAACATACATGAAACATTATACAACAAATCTTTCTTCATAAAATACCTTCAGAAACTTTTGACAAATATGCAGGCATATCTACAAGCAAGCAAATCCAACTGTGGGCTCATAGAGGCATAGATAGGCATACAGACATACACATGTGAGATACTGGGAGTTTGCATATGGATATCTATGTGTGCAATGTTAGAGACTGAAAGATGCTCAGTTATTCTTTGCAGATACTCTAAAGTGCAAAAATAATTTCTTAACTAGCACACTGTCTATCCTGTAAATACTTTTGTGTGATTTGGGCCATCCTCAACTCAAGAAAAGACCAATCTAGTCCTTAGTAAAGGTGAATTGCACATCCTACATGTGGTTTGTCATTCTCTCCCAATGTAGCTATGTCGTTGTTATTTGGGTCTAGACAAGAAGAACATTATAGTTTAGTGTCTTGGTTGTCTAACAGATGTTAGTTTTACTCTGAGTAGAACAAAGATACAGCTAAATTCAGGATTCAATTACATACATCTATCAGATTCCCTGCTTTTGCCAGAAATCCCTCTCCTTCCTGCAGCTTCTCATACAAATGAAAAATCTGCTTTGGACAGCATTATTAAACTGTTGTTCTGAATTCCCTGAACGCTGGTTCAGATTGATTAATTTTGAACAAAAGCCCATACTGTTAAAATAACATCTAAGGCGAGATTATGCGTGAATCAATGAGACACAGCATGAAAGGGTAAAAATGCATGTACATTTCTTTTAATGACCTCTTTCTAAAAATTACTTTATGTGTTTATTTTTTGCAGAAACTCTGTGTGCCATTATCCTCTGTTAAAAGCTTTACTGTTTTCTAATTACATATCTCACGTTGTTATCAAGCCATGGCACCCCCTTCCCAAACGTTTAAGAATAATAAGGACTTAAAGGAAGAGATATGATTTTTCTTTAAAATATTTTTAAAATATTTTCTGATGTTTCAAAGTTTTGCAGTATCAAAGTCACTAGATGTTCCAGAAGGATTTAGCAGCAACCCCAAACTCTATTAAATTGAAACTTTTTAATAAATGCATAAAAATAATATTTCTGTGTAACTTATATTGCTTGAATAATGTATCAATTTCTAAATGTATAAAATGTATCAAATGTATTCTGAAGACATCCGCTGTCCTGTCCACATGCTCCCTGTTTACATAAGCTCCTGGAAACAGAGACCACTATACAATTAACAAAAATCTTTCTAGCACTCTCCCAAGTCAGATAAAGTCAAGCGCTTTGAGTATATATGTGAAGCAGATGGTCCTTTTTGTCACCAAGATGAACTTAAGATGTTTTTCTGTTTAGACAAAGCTGGAGACATGTCATTCCCATGAAAGAGAAGGCTAAACAAATATGAATACATTAGGCAGCCAAGTCCTTGGTCATTTAGTATTGTCACTCTTTGTCTTTTGATATTTACACCTTTGTCACCACGGAACTGGACACTTAAGTTAATAAAGAAATTATCTGCATATCCATGCAACCACTTCCCTATTTTGCGCCCTCCACGTGGACATATCTGCAACAGACTGGGTCTTTAAACTGACCAACCATCAGCTGTTCTTCCAGTCAAGAAGATCTCCTCCTTCTGTCTGTGATGTTCAGGGGAACCTCCAGTTAATCCCGGCACAGATACTAGCTGGTCCCACTTTTCAACCAATCAGGTGAGGGTGTGGGAAGTCTGAATAGATGTCAGAACTGCAAAAAACATCTTGAGTTTTTTATATTAATTTGTGCTTGTATGTTTAAAATGTGCTGCCTGAATTTGCTTCCCTTTTGGCCAAATCAAAATAAATTCTGTAGTTTTGCCTTCACCCCTGAGTGCTTGCGTCTTCAACCACCAGAAGTTTAAGGAATTGAGGGAAACTGTATATAAAGAGGCAGAATATTCCCTTGGGAAAGTAGTGTCCCATTTGAGCCCTTGTTTCCAAACATTCTTCCAGGGACAATCAAAATTAAAATGAGGTTCAATTTAAGCAAGCAGAAAGTGATGCACATTAGGAAACATACGTTCACATATTTATCGATAGTGTCTAGCCTGGCAAGAACTAATCAAGAAAGGGATTTTGGGTTCATAGCAGACATATACATATTGGATTGATTATAGCATCAGTCCAACATGTATACTTCGTGGAAAGAACCCATTTGATTTCTAAGGAAATTGTTAGGAAAATAACTGAAAATGAAACTAGCCATGTAACAGTGTAAAGGTATTTTAATTCATGGTGCCATGGGTATGTAGGATTATAGATGTTGGTCATAATGGGTACATATTTTCTCCAGTACAGAGACAATAAGTCTCTGCATACCAATTGCTGAGATATTTAAACAAGCAGATTTCACTGTGGGAATCCAGTAATTGACTCGACAAGACTTTGGTCTTATCCATCAGGGTTTTCTTGCGTTCTTGATGGTCCAAACAGAATTGACATTATTTACGTATACAGAACTTATGTTGTAAGAGAGTATGTAGTGACAGGTTTATTTCTGGCATTGAATTGTTGCCTGTTAGTAGCCGTCCTGAGTTCCTCCTTGGAGGTCGAGATAGGATGGATTATAAATGCTCCAAATAAATAAATAAGCACTTTGCATAAAATATATATATTTGCATGGCACAGAGTCATACAGTGCAATCATATGCACATTTATTCAGCAGTGCATGTTTCCAGTATGGCTTACTCCTTAACTCATTTCTTACTAAGGATGCTCTCCTAATTCCTCCCACCCTTCAATCTTATACACACTTCTTTGAGAACAAGCTCCAGTAGTAAACTCCATGGTTTTTCCCACACTTGTATAAAATTGCACTATGAATATCCAAACAAGGCAATATACAACAGAAACAACAGAAACATGCCTTTTGAAGCATGACTGAAAGACATCTAACATTAACTTTCTATGTCCTGATGCATTTTTTAAGAAAAACTCTACAGAAAGATATCAACTTAAGTGAAGCCTTATGAATTTATTTTGCTAACTCAGGAATTTTTCCCAGCTAATCCGATCCCCATATTTATATCTTATATCAAACATATGCTGCTTTACTCTACTTCTTGTTGTGTTGTTTCAAGTCATTTTCAACTGATAGCAACCCTAAGGTGACCTATCACAGAGCTTTCTTGACAAGATTTGTTCAGAGGGGGTTTCCCTTTGCCTTCCTCTTGAGATTGAGAGTGTGTGACTGGAACAAGGTCACCCAATGGGTTTCCATGGGCAATCAAAGTTTTGAACCCTGTTTTCCGGAGTCTTAGTCCAATGCCCAAACCACTACATCACACTGGTTCTATCTAATATACTACTGAACCCAAAAGCCACTTCTTATAATTATACCAGTAAAACGAACACATTGTGGATGAATTACCATTAAAAAAACATCTAAAAAAGTAATAATTGCCATGGTTACCCGAGACATAGTAAAAAGGATAAAATATATTTTTACATCCTTCCCTGATATGTATTCACCTCACCTTGATTTTTGTTAATTGCTACAATCAGAATCAGTGATAATGGAGATTAAGGTTAAAGAGGTCAGCACATTAATCCAGTTGATTAAAGAAGAAACATGGTAGATTGTTGAAATGGGCAAAAATTATATCTCATGAAGAGCAAAGGTCCATGATAACCTCCAACCTTTCAATTCTTTAACTTCAGTCATAATATTATACAGGCAGTCCCCAAGTTACAAACATTCTACTTACAAATGACTCATAATGAAGAACTGTGGTGAGACATCAGGAAGTGAGGGAAATCTACAACTCAGAAGAGAAATTCAGTCCTTGAAGGGTTATCATGGGGAAAAGGTGTCTCAGCTGAAGCTTTCTCAACAATCCTGTTTCCACAACAAGTCCAATTTATCAAAATCCAATTATCACAGGGACAGAAAGTGAGGTGAAATCTTTGGAACAGAGGGAAAGACAGCAAAACAAACATCACAGGGGTGTTAACCCGTCCCTATGCTATCCAAAGCATATGTATGTACTATATGTGTGTATATAGATATGTGTGTCTGTGTGTGTATGTGTATGTATACATACACACACACATATATATATACACACACACATACATGGGGGCTGTAGTGGCACAGTGGGTTAAACTGCTAAGCTGCAGAACTTGCTGACCGGAAGGTGGGTGCTTTGAATCTGCAGAACTGGATGAGCTCCCACTGTTAGCCCCAGCTTCTGCCAACCTAGAAGTTTGAAAACATGCAAATATAAGTAGATCAATAGGTACCGCTTCTGCAGGAAGGTAATGGCATTCCATGTAGTCATGTTGGCCACATGACCTTGGAGGCATCTATGGACAACACCAGCTCTTTGGCTTAGAAATTAAGATGAGCACCACTGCCCAGAGTTGGACACGACTAGACTTAATGTCAAGGGGAAATCTTTACCTACACACACACACACACACACACACAAATATACATACACACACACATATATGGCTGGACTTACATTTAAAATGTACCTGCTCCAGCTTACAAATAAATTTAACCTTAGAACCTAGAGATCCTATCTTGTTTG